ATAACACCAACACTGATTACTGGTCTTCTTTCCTGGCTTAAGACAAAAGCTATTTGCTAGGCATTTTGGGATTGCTCATTTTATGAGTCAGAGAGCAGCAGAGTTGGGCAGTTAACTTGGTAAAGGACATTACTGAGAATCTGGAAGTATAAGCCAAGAGAGGGAGGAAGAGAAAGTGGGTGGCTGGAAACATGACCAAAGAATAAGAAATTGGGGGATTCAGTGCATGGAAAATGACAGCTTATATCTTTTGTTGTGGAGGTCTATTAAGTGCACATATGAGTAAATACAAAATGATTAAACGATTTCTGGGGGGAGGGTCAGTTTGTTGTTAACAAAGGTTATACAGGAAAGCATGGAAGGACAGGGAAGAGTGAGAAAAGGACATTGGTGATAGGGCTAAAACAATTCAAAATGTTCAGGGTGTGGGAACTAGAAGGAAAAAGGGCTGGCTGCTCAGGTGAAGAATAGTTTTCAAGCTGAGCTCCTCAGGTTACACCGAGAACCAAGTAAAAACAAACTTGCTATTTTCAATGACCCTAGGACAGACTGGACTTCTGTTTCAAGCTATACAAGGCTGAGATTTGTTATTCAGTGGACACCAACATTACAAGTGCTTCTTCTCATATCAAATAAAAGTCAGCAAGCTGTCATAAAGGTTCTGGTTTTTCTTGTTCAATAGGAGTTGGGGGAGGTGGGAAGGAAAGAAAATAAATGTTAAGTTAAAAAAAAAAAAGACAACCTGCAAACCTGAGCTTAATGGCTGTGCAGTATCATCATTAATACATTATAGTCAAGTTTACTTTAATGTAACTATGTTGTAGTCTCATTGGGCAATCATCCAAGGTACAATGGATCATTTCCAAAAATCCAATTGTAAAGCAGCTGGAAGCCAAGAAAGGTCCCTTTATAGGTTTGCATTTACTTTTCTGTGTACATGTTACTGGGTGGTGAGGGGGAAACAATGCAATGACTCCTTGAGGCCAGGGGCTATTTTGTTTGCACAGAGGCATTAATCTGAGCTACACTTGCCCACAGTCAGTGTCTATCAGAAATAGGCTTTGAACTCAGGACATTCTCAAAGTTTGTTACTGAATGTTTGTTGAGTGATTGAGGTTTCTTTACAATCTGGACCTAAGGACACATCTTGGTTCTGTCAAACAGATGTTCCTCTACGATATATTTTGCTGGGAAGGTGAGAGTATCTTACCTGGTAGGACAGCCTGCTTTCCATGGGATAATATATAGAGAGAGCTGGCAAGGATCTTAAGAGCCATCTCATTTCAGTTGCCTCATTCTACAGATAATCTTTCTGAGTTAGTTTCCTGAAGTGTGCAAGATAGGATCTGAACTGAGGCCTTCATTCTTAAGTCAAGCATAACTTCAAGAGTCTATCAACTTTCACCCACCCTGCCCCTAAAGGAGGTGGAGACCCTATAACCCAAGTCACCCTTTACACTTTGGATGAGATCCCTTTAGAGACATCTTTATCTCCCCCTCAAAGGTTGGAAGGGAGGGATAAGAGACAGAAGGCAAAACAAAGCAGTTAATAAGTCAACCGGCATTAAGTCCTGGAGATACAAAGAAAGGAACAACAGTTCTGGTCTGAGCTCAAGAAGTTCACATTCTAATGGGGAAGAGATAACAGGGAAACAACAGAGACATACAAGATACATATAGAGTAAATGGAAGGGAATCTCAGAGGAGGCACTAGCAGCTGGAAGGTGGGAGGACTAGGAAAGGCTTCTTGCAGAAGACAGAATTTGAGCAGAGGATTCAAGGAAACCAAGGAAACAGAGAGGGAGGTAAGGGAATGAAGCATTCCAGGCATCAAAGACAGCTAGTCTAAAGGCAGAGTCAGGTGATGAAGAATCTTGTTTAAGCAACCGTGGTTTGGCCATAGCAGTGCAGTAGCTAGAGCCCTGGGCATGGTGTTAGAGAAGACCTGAGTTAAAATATGACCTTGGTCACTTACTAGTGTTTGACCCTGGGCAAGTCACTTCACTTTTGTTTGCCTTAAGTTTACTCAACTACAAAATGGGGATAGTAACAGCACCTACCTTGCAGGGTTGTTGTGAGGATTAAATGAGATATTTCTAAAAAGTGCCTGGCACATAGTAAACTGTATATAAATGATTATTCACTCTCTCTTCCCAGTATGTCAATGTCAGATTGTAGAGTGCATGAAAGAGAGTAAAGTGTAATAAGACTGGAAAGTTAGGAAGGGTTCAGATTATAAAGAGCTTTAAATGCTGAATGGGACTTCTTTTTTGGTTCTGGAATAGGGAGCCACTGGAGCTCATTAAGTGGGGTTAAGGCTGAGGCAGTAGGAGGTGATATGGTCAGATCTATGATTTAAAAGTCATCTTGGCAACTGAATGAAGGATGATTTGGAATGGGGAGAGAGACTTGAAGAGGGAAAACCAACCAGAAGGCTCCTCTAACAGTCTAGGTAATAAATGATGATGGCCTATACTAGAGTTTTCTGATTGGAGAAAAGGGGACATATATGAGAGATGTCATAAAGGTAGAAATGGCAGTATTTCACAAAACCTTGAATGTGTGGTGTGAACTGGAGTTAAGAGTCAAAATGAGGGCTGAGGCCTTGACAATAACAGGAAAGGTGGGAAGGAAGGGTCTAGGGAGGAAGACAATAAGTTTTGTTTTGAAGTGTTGAGTTTGAGGTATCTATGGGACTTCCAGTTTGAGATATCCAACAGGCATTTACTGGGGAGTCTGGAGGTCAGGAGAGAGATTAGCTGGATAAATAGATCTAAGGATTATCTATAGAGATAAAAACTGAACCCCTGGCAGCTGATAAGATCACCAAGCAAGACAGTACAGTGTAACAAGAGAAGGCCCAGGAGACAGCCCTGGCAAGGTATAATATGAAGAAATCAGGAGGGGTCAGACAGAATCAAAAGAAAGCAATGTCACAAAAATGTAGTGTGTCTGGGAAGAGGTGATTAACAGTGTGAAATGCTACAGAGGTCATAAGATCTGGCAAATCAGAGACTGTTGGGAACTTTGCAGCTTTACATGTTGAGGACAAAACCTAGATGACAGGGAGTTTAGAAGAGCTAACACAACTACCTGAGTTTAAGCTAGAGAAAAACAACCAACCTATTAGAATAATGAAAAATGGAGACAATAGTAGCACCTATCTCCCAGGATTATCTTGAGGATATTTGTAAATCTGTAAAGCACTCTGCAATCCTTAAAGCAGAATAAATGCTAGCTAGTCTTAAAAGACTTGGGAAATTCACTAAACCACTCTAACAAGTCAATGGTAAAGTATATATACCCTTTGACCAGGGATACCACTACTAGGTCTATACTCCAGAGATCAAAGAAAGAGAAACAGGATCCATATGTACAAAAATATTTATAGCACCTCTTTCTGTATTGCCAAGAACTGGAAACTAAAGTGCCCATCAAATGGGGAATGGCTTAACAAATTACCATATACAAACTAAAAGAGAATATATTATGCCCTAAGAAATGAAGGAGGGTTTCAGAAAAATCTAGGAAAACTAATACGAACTGAGGCCACGTGTGAAGAGAACCAGGACAATTTATTCGATAAGGACACTGGAAAGATAAAATGGATTTGGCCATCCCCCATGCCTGGAATGCTTTCCTTCCTTATCTCTGCCTCCCCTGTTCCATGTTATTTTTCTTTTTGCAAAAGTCGCTAAAATTCAACTTTCTGCAAGAAGCCTTTCCCAGTTCTAAGATCACCAACAAGTTATTCTGCACAGTGTCTCAAATAGCTTCTTCCATACTAAGTGTGAACTCAGGAGGGGTCGGGTTAGACTGACAGAATCAGGAGAATTACAAAAATCTGGGAGGATCCAGGAAGAGGTCATCAGCAGTGGCAAACACGACAGAGATGAAGGATGGGGAGTTCAATTGGGGGGGGGGGGTCCTAGGCTTCCTGTGCAGCCCCAGGCCTTTTCTGTACTCCCAGCGTTCAGAACCATAAAGCACACATTTCAGTGCTTAATAAATGCTTGATAACTTAACCAACTCTGCTCAAGGGCAAAAATCGGAGGACCCACCCAGAGCCAGGCCACTGCTCGTTTCTTGACAGATTGAAGGTTTCAGAGCTTTAAGACTTGAAATTTCGCAGCTGGACAACGTGGGTATTTGCATTGCTCTGGCTTGGCATACATCGTGGGGGTGGGGTGAGGAGTAGGGGGAAGGGAAATAAGTAGAAGATAGATGCTGGTTAATCGGGAAGGGGGGCTTAAAAAGCCAACGCCTCCATGACTTCCAACAACTGACAACGGAGACATGGGGAGGCCACGAAGCTCCTTTTCCGCACCCGCAGGCCTCCACCCCGCCAGCCGAGGGAGTTAAACGCGCTTCTGTGGTTGGGGGCCAAACTCTTCGGGAAAGGCTCAGGAAGCGCAGACGAGAGGATGTGTTTACAGTGGCGGGAGCGGAAGCTAGGGGCCCAGCCAGCCACGCCGCGTCACAGTAAGCTCGCGACCAGCTCCCAGCCTCCCACCTGCTCCGTCGCCCCACGAGGCCTCGGCGATAACGGAGGAGGCGGCGCGGGACGCGGATGCAGATGGCCCAGCCTCGGTCCCGGCTCCGGGGAGGGCACGTCACACGCACGCGCCTCCGCCCTCCCGCAGAGGAGCCGGCGATGGTCCCGCCCCCCGGAAGGTGGCTCCTCCAACCGAGGCTAGAGGGAGGGACATCCGCGACAGCCCGGGCCGCGGGATGGGGCACGCTGCGTCCCTTCCCGCTCCGCGGCTCCCGCGCGTGCTGGGCCTCCTCCGGGACTCATTCGCCCCGCGCGTCCCAGGCCTCTCGCGGACGGCCCCCGTCTACTCCCGCCTCGTCCCCCGCAGCTTGGCAAGTGGGGACACGCGTGATCACCCCTGCCCCCCAGCCCCCTGCACGATCCCCCACCGAGCCCGCGCCGAGCGGCCTCAGCATCAGCCCGGGCCGCGTGGGTCCCCCGCCTTCCTCCTCGCGCTAGCGCTCACCTGGTCTCCTGGTTACTGAATTTCTTGGTGACCACCTTGCCCAGCTCCAGCCCCAGCCTGTCCGCCACTTTCTGGGACAGGTCCTGGTGCGAGCTGCCACTGAACAGCACGATGTTGGGCATGGCGGGCGCTCGGCGGGGGGCGGCGGTGGCGACAGCGGCGACGGAGGCTGGGGCTTCTGCTGGTGGCGGGAGCCCGAGCGGGAGGAGGCGGGAGACGGAGTCTGCAGGGGCGGGGCCGGGGCCGGGCTCCGCCTCGGCCACTGTGGGGAGGAAATGGCCCCGCAGCCGCCAGCCCGGCACCTCCCCTCCCCGGGCTGCAGGGGCGGGGCTAGAGCAGCGCTCCGCCCTTGGGGGCGGGGCCTCCGCTTTGGTCAGGCGGGTATTTAAATGTGCTTGGGGGGGGCAGACCCGCTCCCCTTTTCCTCCAACCCTTCCCTGGAGTGCTAGCTTAGTTTAGGAAGGACCTGCAGTGTTTTTAAAAAACAAACAGACAAATCCCTGCGGTTTCTACACTCCCTCCCAGGCCACGTGTCTGAGTTTACGTAACTTTTTCCTGAAGGTATTCTAAAGACTAATTTATGAAGCTGCCAAAAGTCTGACCAAGCACATAGTAGACGCTTAATGTTTGTTAAGGCAGGCTAGCTGCCGCTGTGGATGGAGCTCGGCACCGGGGTCTGGAAGACCTGAGTTCAAGTCTGAGCCCAGGCACTAGTTGTGTGACCCTGGGCAAGTCATTTAATGCTGTTTACCTGAGTTTCCTCAACTGTAAAATGAATTGGAGAAGGAAACGGGAAACTATTCCAGTATCTTTTCCAAGAAAATCCCAAATGGGGTCATGAAGAGTCAGACAAGACTGAAACGACTCAATAACAATTAAACAAGCTGAGGGATCCCAAATTAAAAACGAGAGTCAATAAGCATTAAGTCTGTCTTGTGCAGGGAGGTCATGAACTACCTCTCCCCCCATTCAATAAACGGCACTTCCCATCACTACCGGGAGCAAATATAAAATTCCTTTGGCATTGAAATTCCATTATGACTTGTACTGTCTCTTACCCGTAATAATAATAATAATAATAATAATAACTCAACAATCTAGTGATTTGCTGCTTGTTTCTCCATTCCCCAACTCCAGGCATTTTCACTGTTTCCCATTATTGCAATTCACTTCCTCCTTCCCCCCCCCCACTTGCTGGCTTCCCTTAGTGCCTGCTAAAATCCCACCTTCTACGGGAAAGTTTTCCAAGTCCCTTTCATTCTAGTGCCTTCCTTCTGTTGATTCTTGCCAGTGTGTCCTGTTTTTATCTTGTTTGTACATAGCTGTTTGCATGTTGTCACCTCCATTAGACTATAAACACCTTGAAGGCAGGGTCTGTCTTTGTACTCCCAGCGATTTAGCACAGTACCCACATGTTTAGTATTTATTGACTGACTCATCCTTAACCTGGTGTCCCTGAGTTTGTTGGTTTGACAGTTGATAAACATTAAGGGCCTACTATGTGCCATACACAGTGCTAAACTCTGGGTATATAGTCCCTGCCCTAAAGGAGATTACAATCTAATGGTGGAAAGACAACACAAGAAAGCAAGCTAGCTCCTGGGGGTGGGGGGGATGGATGGGATGGGGGAAGGAGAAGGAACCAGGAGTATTGGGCATGTTGTTAAAATCGGGGAATTCCCAAAGTAGTGGAGACAGGTGAGAAATGAGGACTTTCTAGGTGTTGGTGTAAGTTATTATTTTCTTCCTCATGGTCTGTATACTTAATTCTTGTTATGAACCTGGCTAGGGCCAGACAATATAATGGGAGAGATGAAATAAAAACAAGAGCTGGCAACTAATTGGTTATATGGGATTGGGAAGATTTATGGTGTGTTCCACAGAAGTAGAGAAGTTCAGAAGAGTTTGGGGGCAAAGATAAGGAGTTCTGGTTTTGCACATGTTAAATTTGCTATGACTATGGTACATCTGGTTTGAAATATGGAGCAGCTAGGTTGTACAGTTGATAGGTGCTAGACCAGAAGTCAAGAAGACTTGAGTTCAAATCCAGCGACAGACATATTCCCTGAGGGACCCTGGGCAAGTAGGTCACTTTACCACTGTCTGCCTCAATTTCCTCATGTCTCAAATCAGGATAATAATAGCCCTACCTCACAGGGTTATTGTGAGGATAAAATGAGTGAATATTTATGAAGTGCTTTGCAAACCTTAACGTGATATGTAAATGTTAACTGTTGTTATTAAATATCCAATAAATAACATGAGATGTAAGACTGGATCTCCAGAAACTCTGTGAATCACCTGGATAGACATCATAGCTCATGGTAGCTGATGAAGTCACCAAGTAGAGAAGGGAAGAGAAGAGTTCCCAGTAAGTAAGTGCACAGCCTTTAGATGTACTAGTAGGGGATGTGGTAAGGGATGATGAAACAGCAAAGGAGAATGAGGAGAAGCTGTCACACAGGAATGATAAAAGGGTATTATGAAAAGCCATAGAGGAGAGAAAGTATGCAGGAGGAGTGGTCAACCTATCAAATGCTGGAGATGTCAAAAGGGCGGAGGATTAAGGAAAGGCCATCAGATTGGGCAGCTATGGTTGCAAACCACCTTGGTATGGTACAAATTGTTAAATATCTTAAATTCTGAAGTGTCCTGTGTATAATAAATTGATAAATAATAGTCTTCAGCTCTACTGAATTCATGACTTCTAGTTCAACTCTTCTCCAACACCACAACAGCTTACAGCTAGCTGGTGGATTCTTGAATCATAAGATGCCGGGGTCCCCTCCGAAGTTAACCCAAGACCCAGGTTATTGTGTCATATAGATAGTTAATAGTTAGCCTAAGTTTATGTTAACTATTAAAATATATTGTCACATATTTATATTCTTTGTTAGCCGCTCCTTTTGAGCCTTTTTTATTATCTAATCCTCACATATTTGCCTGCAAAGATTTCAGCATCTTTCTTACTTGAAACGTACAGCAGCATGGACCAAGTCCAGTCTTGAATAAGGCATTGGGTTGGGGGTGGCTAGGTGGTGCAGTGCATACAGCACCAGCCCTGGAGTCAGGAGGACCTGAGTTCAAATTCATCCTCAGACACATAACACTCACTAGCTGTGTGACCCTGGGCGAGTCACTTAACCCCATTGCCTAGCAACCAACAAAACAATAAGGCATTGGTAACCTAAGAAGTTTTATGATAAAACACTTGACATCATTGTATTCTGACTCCATCCTCTAAGAAACAAAAGATGCCATTTGATAATACAGGCAGCTAAAATTTTATAGTACTTTAAGGATAACAAAACACCTTCTTCACAATAATCTAAGGGAGAGGTGACTGTGGAAACTGAGGAGCAGATTGGTGAAGTTTCTTGTGTATTCACACGGCTAGTGACACAGGCAGTCTTCATGTCTCTAAGTCTAGCACTCTAACTTCTGTGTTGTATTGCCTTTAAAAATTAGTCTCTATACCAGGGATTCTTAACCTTTTTTTGTGTAATGGTAGTCAGGTGAAGCCTTGCACCCCTTCTCAGAATGATGCTTTTAAAGGTATAAAATAAAATACATAGGATTACAGAAGAAACCAATTCTATTGAAAGTTATCTGTATGTATAATATATCCATACATACATACATACATTTTGAGGCAGCTAGGTGGCACAATGGATAGAGGGAGTGCTGGGCTCAGAGTCAGGAAGACTTGAGTTTAATTCCAGCCTCAGGAACTTCCTAGCTGTGTAACCTTGGACAAGTCACTTAACCTCTGTTTGTCTATGGATCAGTGATTCACTGGAGAAGAAAATGGCAAACCACTCCAGTATCTTTGACAAGAAAACTCCATGGACAGAGGTCCATGGGGTCATAAAGAGTAAGATACGACTGAACAACAACACCACACACACACACACACACACACACACACACACATACACATATATACACACACAGATAGATATTAAAGTTCACAGACTTGAGGTTAAAAATCCCTGCTCTAGGTAATTTTTTTTTTTTTGGCAGAGTGGGCTGTATTCCCTCATTTTTGATTCTTCACGGAAATTTCCAACCCTTTGTGAAGCATTAGGTCAATATGATGGAAACAGATGGAAGTATGGAAATATGATAGATGCTTTGCAGCAGACTGAGAGATACACTATCTCCTCTTATCAGTAAAATTGTTGTGACAATATTTCACCAAACTGCTATCAAATGGAAATAGCCTTAGGCCCTGAAGTGCATTTCTGTGCTCCATTATCTACTGAGTCATATAATTTCCTTAAGTTGAATCACAGAATTGACAAGTTGGAAGGGACCTCAGAAATCATTCTAGTATAACCACTACCTGATTCATTAATGTCTTCAATATTCCTGACAAATCATTGAGCCCCTGAACACCAGTAACAGGGAAATTCTACCAACTTGGGTGGCTCATTTTCCTTTTTTTGGACAGCTCTAATTGTTAAGACATTTTTCCTTATATTAAGCCAAAATCTGCCCTCTGGTAGTTTCATAGACTGTCCATGCAAGAAAAGTCCTAGTTCTGCCTTTTACAGCTAGCCTGAACTAATTTAATGCCTCTTCAGTCAATTCACAGGTGTTTATTAATATAGTCCCACTGTCGGTCTTGGTGATCTCATCAACTCTCATGGATTTATCTCCCATGTCTCTGTGAAGATGATTCTCAGATTGATTTATCCAACCCTAACCTCTCTGCTGAGCTCCAGTATGATTGCCTATTAGATGTCTTGTTCCCTAGACATCTTAATCTCAACATGTCCCAAACAGAACTCACTATCCATCCCTTCAAACCCTCCCTTCTTCCGAACCTGCCTGTTACTGTTGAGGGCACCATCATCCCCCCCATCACAACATAGGTGTCATCCTTGACTCCTCATTCTCACCCCACATTTCCAATTTGTTGCCAAGTCCTGTGGATTCTACCTTTGCAACACCTCTTGTATATGTCCTCTTTTCTCCATTCACATAACTGACATCAGAGCAGGTCCTCATCTCCTCATGCCTGGGCTATTGTAGTAGCTTGCTAGTTTTTTGTCTGCCTCCAGTCACTTCCCAATCCAGGCCATCCTCCACCCAGCTATCAAAGAGATCCACCTAAAGTACAGGCCTGAACTTGATATTCCCTCCTCAGTTCTAAGACAATGCCAA